TCCAATTGTGGGCAAGTAGTCCTTCTTGAATTAACTTGTGCTAATTGGTACGAAAGGTGCTGTATTCATTGTAAGGAAGGCTTCGTAATACCATGCACCATGCATAATTCTTTTAGGTTTCATCGAGTACTCCCTTTGCTCAAACAAATTCCTGTAACATACTCTCTAGTGCTTTTGTCAATTAAGTGGGAATAGATATTCCGACAGTGTATGACAATAGCAGGGCAGTTGTGGATTGAAAAATAGACTCAACTCACACCATTGTGGTCCATCTTAAACATGCGGATTTCCGATCACGCTCTAATGTGCCCACCCTCAAGTTTTGCGGAAATCTGTGACAGTACGTGCGTCCTGCACTACGTATATGACTTCGATGGACCCACCTGAATTGGGCTATTTATATGTCGTTCTTTCGAGCTGTACTTTTGAAAAAATTGTCCATCCCTTCTTTACTTATATATATATATATATATATATATATGTACTCGTATGCATATATGACCACAGGGAAGTTTTATCTTAATTTGTCCCGTCTGGCATACCCTTCAGTGTGCGACGAATTGCCGCCCTCCTTCGAAAATAAAACGTTGGCGTTACTTTTCATCAATCTTGAGCAGAAAACCGTCAATACTCTACTTCATAAGGACACTTCGGAAGGAGTAAAACCAGAAACGAATGTGACAGTTTTCTCTAATTTCGAGAGCGAGCTTAGTTAACAGAAATCTTGTAGTATCCTTGAAACACTAGGACGCTCGTCACTGTTAGTTTCCAGGCTATATCGTTTCCTTGCTGTAATCGTTAACAGATTAAAAACTTGGCTTACACTGTTACGCCAACACAAATTCCAATAACACAAATGATCATCTATTCTGTCTTGTGATGGAGAATGCACTCTGAGAACTTGAATTTCATTTTCGTCATCCAAAATTAACATCAAAGATATCGGATGACCGCGAGTCAAGTTAGCGAGCTAGGACCATGTACCGTCTGCATAAAGTTTCTGGCTGATGCCTATAGTGTTCGCCACTCCAATTATTTGGTTGATATATTTTTGGCCATACCCTTCTAGTCTGCCACTACTCTCTAAACTTCTCGGAATAATTAATGCATAAAGATAGAATCTTCTTCATGGATACGGATTCGCTATCGATTTTTTGTTAATCCAATGTTTTCGCCGGAAGATAGGGACTCCACTTCCCTCAGTTGGAAACTCACAAACAGCAAGGAAACTAAATTGACAATGTTCAGCACGAGGAATCATGGTCAAAGTATCTACGATGGGTTTACTTATCCCCACAACGACCTTGAAGCCGCACAAAATGCTTAAAAATATGGGAAGTCTTAGTACGGTTGCAGTTGCTATCTCCAATATCCGAGGGTTCCGTCCCTCTGATCTCTTGAAGTCCCGTCTGTTTCCACGTTTTTTGCGTAATCAGCCCGTACAGGAAGGTGTTGGACAGCTATACCGTGCAGTTCATTTTCCAGAAGACAGATTGAATTCGGCATCAGCGGTACGCAGATCTGTTGGGCGTCAGCCTGCATGCTGATCTTGGCTCGTCACATAACGTTTATGAGATTACGTTGACCGTATTCGGAGTTTTATTGTATTTTTCATGGGGCCACACTTTCGGGACATCTCGCCACCCGCACCTAAACCGTCTTCCTTGAGGCGCTAACGGGCCCACAAATATTTCCTCACAAACATGGACCTTTAGCTACACCCTTCCTTTAAATTCTGCAAAGCCAGGCGTTTGTTTTCCTTTTTATGTCAGTTATGTCAATATGATACAACAGGCTTTCAATAACAGCAACGTAGTGAGCGGACTTCAGGCGTGCTGATACCTGTGACACGTGGATAGTTCAACTGGTGCCTTTTTTGGAACAAGAAGTGTGCTGTTGCTGTTCAGCAGTAAGAGAAACTGTTCGAAGAATGTGGACGTGGCCGAAAATTCAGACAGCTTGTATGAAAATCGAAATGTCAATTGGTTCTACTGACACACCAAAGTCACACGCCGATCGCTAGTCTTTGTTTACCAGTGAAGATTATGGTGACTTTGAAAAATTAATGGATACATTGACTTCAAATCCGAAATTTCAAACCTTTTAGGTCAGCTAATCATATAGCTTCACTGGTAAGGTGCCTGTGATTTCAAATTAAGCCATATCAGAACGGATGGGACGAGCTTTGGGCATTGTTGCTGAAATTTGTCTGTTGCCTATTGCTTTCAGTGTGTGGAAAATGTTGAGGGGCGGATGCCTATATGGTTAACGTGCTATTTTGCAGATAAACGACCTTTTCGTCCAGTTTTTATGGGAACCGTAGCAACCAGGATGTCTTGATAGTATTATGCTAGGTCAGCTTGGCTTTTGGTACAGGGTCATATTGGTAACAAAAATTTCCGATAGTTGGTCTTACCGGCTGAACAACTGGTTCCTCCCGACCGGTCCCCTCTGACTCATCGCAACAGCCTACAGTTTTAATTTCCTGTTTAAACTACCAGCCACAAGGAATTTGTTCGAGGTACAGAGATCAGCCGTTACATCATGAGTTAGACGTCATGGATGGACACATCGTTGTGTACCAGTACGTTTTGAGTGGTTGGATTCGATACCTAATTTTTCGCCTCCGATACGGTGCATTGGCAAATACCACCTCTCCAGCGACTCCTCACCGGTGTCGTTGATTGGGTGTTGAATGCATGCGGAAGCAACGTTATCCATTTCTAAATGGAGTCCCACCAAATGTCATAGGTAAACCAGTCTAAGTGGAGAGATGGAACACTCAACAAGTTCTAAATCATGCTGAGCAACTCCTGTAGTTCGCCCTCGTTTATTCACTGCACGAACTTTGTGCAGTGGAGCATATTCAAAGTGTCCGCGGCATAAAAAGTTGGAAGATTTTCAAGGCAAAGAGCTCTTTATTCTTGTGATTAGGCGCCGATGCAATAAATCTTTGCACCACCTAAAAATTGTCCTTTGTCCAACGTTGAGTGTTATTTCAGGAAACCGGTGCATTTGCGCACTCGTACACGTGATATACAACTCACAACACAAGCAATTTATGTTGTTTAAAAGAAGGCACTTTATCCCCCCTTTGAAGAAGACATACAGTCAGCTAGAAACAGGTTCTCCTTGGGCCAGACAACTAGGTCTTTTGTAAAAATTACCGTACATTCTTTCAAATGGTTTCGACTTCCTGTCACAACCCAATGAAACATTTTTGACTATCTCTGAGACTTATTCAGACGGAATAACAGCCCCGAATAACGTTCAACTGCCTTTGCCGGCCTGTGACAAATTCATGCCGTTTTTTGATCATTCGAGAGAATCTAGTGGAGGTGTGCTGGAAGTTCCGTGGTTGATTGTGTTCACTGAGCTGTATAACTGGAGCTACATGGCTTCTGTAGGTTGTCTTTATATCATCAGTTTAGAATAGAAATATCTGAATGATTATAATCTTTTCTACGTCTCTTTCTCCAGTGTCAACAAAAACAACCAAATGAAATCTGTCGAGATTTCTTTTGTAAAAGATGTACGCCTGGTGGGTTTTGTCTTCGGCTCTTCTTGGTGTGTGCGTCATGCAGTAAATTGGCTACTCTCGAATAACTAAGTAGTTAAACTCATGGTAGAGTCTCTGACTGTATTTAGAGGGTCTTCAGGAACCAGCCGTTCGTCATTCATGGAAGTTTCTCTTGAGGTTATCTAATATTTATGACCACGAACGCTCTTAATGATGCGTCCGGGGATATATGCCTCGTAGCCAGGTCACTTCCGAAAATGACGTTCAGTTTCATTTCCATCGACCACGTATTTTTGAGGTCTCTTGTTTACGCTGATCGTCTTCTTGAAACTAAGCGCAACAACTAACTCAGTTGCAATGGCATGGTTATTCAGCGAACTTTCCATTACTTTTGTTACTTCATGTTGCTCCCTCTTTTATTGTATCGTCACTGCACATTCTATATGGACGTGTACCACGGTCTATATCGCCATCATTTGAAAGCTACTTAGTGCTCTATATGAGTTATATGGCTGACGCTACGACTGAGAGTAAATGGAGGCTGTTAAAACAAAATATTTGTAGCTTCAGATATTTTGCCTGGAAACAAACTCCGAATGAGTGGTGACAAAATTCGGCTAGACTATCCCGATAAAACAGATGTTCTATCAGCTTGGAGTTAGGCTCTCTGCTTTGCGTTTTGTGCACTTGGTTGAGACCATGTTAGAAGTAGGTGTGTTTTCACTCAATAACATTTGGCGTAACAAACCTAAAGCATGCCCGAAATGTATCTATCCGGTCAGCGAAACAGTAGATTTCCCATGGTATATTGCCCATTCTGGAACACTTGGCTTATGGAGACAATTCATATCCACCACTATTTTCACAAAGTGATTTTTAGCGTTCTGACGTCTGAGGTGTCCTTTTTAAATGAGATCCCTTAAAGGAAAAAAATGGGGCTGGAGTCGTCTTGTGAGGACTTGTTTTCAAGAGGATCCTCTCTAATGATATATCGATGCAGTTCCAAAATACGTGCGCTGCATTTGTTAGATAACCCGTGCATGTATTCTTAAAGTACAATCAAATGAGTACTGAAAATCCTCTTAACGGGGACACCGGAGTAGTAGTGGATGAATAGAAATCAAGCGACATTGAATCTATTGAATTAAGTAACAAATGTCGAAATTCGTCCGTTGTGGAATTTGATGCATGGAAGGTAACGCTCAGGTTTCAAAATAACTGGTAGTGCCTAGCGTCGTGTGTGTTAGAACAATCTATTGCTTGTTTCTCTGACATATAGAAGACCTCTTTTATACAACCGAACTTTTCAAATCTTTATAGAAATAGAGTGAACCAATCGATCCTGATTCACTGTTCCACACAACACTGTTCTGTTTCAATGACCATAGCGGAGTTACATTAAGTCATATGGAAAACTTATTCCTTTTCCAAATATTTCACTCACTTGGACGTCACCCACCTTTTTGTCCGTGTTCTATAGGTGTTGGCCTGGTGGAGATTGTGACTGAACCAGATTTCACTCACTCTGCTCAGGCTTCAGCTTTCCTTAATGAGCTGGCCATTGTCCTTTCCTTTTTGGGTGCGTGTAATGCAAATGCATCTCTTGGTGAATTGCGCGTGGACGTGAACGTGTCCGTTGGGCCTACTTTATCGCATCAGTATCCGCGGACGGAGGTGAAGAACGTGAACAGCATACGGGCGGTTGCTCGGGCTATTGGTAAGCAAGTCATCTATCTGCTGTCTATACTCTTTCCATGCTGTAGGGTTGTCGCCTTCAGTGACTGGTAGCTGGGATAAGCGCCAGTAGAGTTTTCAATCACCCCCGAAATAGCGGAGAAGTGAAGACACCTCTGAGCGACTGACGAAGCTGTGTTCCAAGCCTATAGAAAAACGATGAAGGAAACTGGTTGTACGAGAAAGTTTGGTAAAATGGATGGTCAAAAGGTCTGACAAAATTGCTGCTCGGCAGCGCCTCTATCGCTCAATTCTTGATTGCTCCTATCTAAGTTGAATTCACTGCAGCCTGCCTTTGTGTTTTCAGCTGGTTTTGTGATTGATTCGCTCGGAATTGTTTGATTTGATCCTATGAGCCTTCTCTGTACGTCCGCGCGCCACGCTGGAAATAATCCTTCTAGGGAGACCCTTCCAATGAGGTTCTGCTCCTGTCTGGAGTTAGTAGCTGTTTTCCGTTTTTCGCGATTTAATGTAAATTCTCCTTCACTTTGGAGAGATTTGACATGCAGTAGATACGTCACAGTCTTCTTCCTCGTGAGATCCTCTCTTCGGGAAACCACCGTTTGCGTGTTGTTCAACCATCACAGCTGCTCCAATTAGGTTATCCCCTAGAATTCCTTTGAATAGTACCTGCATTCTAGTCACTTGTGTGTCCCAGTGTTTCCGGAACAAGGTTCAAATCATGGATATATATATATATATATATATAAATTTGACGAACAGCTAGACTCTTTTGTCCAGGTTGTATCTTTTACACGTTCAATCTTTGTTTAGAATCCCTTAATTGTTAATGCCTGAGTTTTCGACATGAACGCTACCATTTTGCTTCCAGAATTTGAAATCGATCGCCAGGTTGACTTGATACGATCAGGAGAGGAAGTCACCAACGAAACGAGGTCATTTGATGCTACTACCGAGTAAGGTTTTTGTTCGCTTTTTAATTGCTCTATGTGCCACATATCCCCTTTTTGGAAATATCTTTTTATCTACGACGCGTCGGCTCCGTGAGGGTTTGTGACTTCTTTTATGCGAGCTGGTATCTCGACCTCTAAGGAAGCAAAGTATGACCTGCAAGTAAGCATCATCCGAAGGCGCGCACTAACTCACTATATGCATGTTTTTACTATCGAGATATTTCGGTCCTGGAGAGAATATCGTTCGCCAATCCCTTTGTTATTTTCGTATACAAGATTGCGGTAGCCTCGTTGACAGGTTCAATGCTTGGGAACATAGCCGACAAAATAAGTGCACATGAAATCTGTTTTTAATCCGCTTTTTTACAAAGGGAAGGGCGAGTTTTCAGTGTGTGACCGACGTTTACTTGAAACGAATCCAAAGGGTCAACGTAAACAAAGGTTATTCCATCAAACTAGCAAATACCGGTAAGCCAAGGAGCGGATCGAACTAGTTGATGCAATGTGTGGGTCAATAACTTAAATGACAAACGGAATTTATCAATGCGCGTGTGTGCATTTAATCGTGAGTTAGCATGGGTTCGTGGATGCTACAATTGAATACTTATCCGAAATCTGTTTAACGGACATCGCCCTTATTTGGTCTGAAGTTTTTCACGTGTCACAATATGGCATCTTTGTTGGATGTTCCATACGTGTGAAAGCCTTTTCCACCTTCAGTTGTCCAGACATAGCTCAGTCGTCTCAAGCCACCTTGTCTGTGGGTGAATTAGCTGCGAACTACTTTTTGTTGCCACCTGCATGATGACCAGGTAAAGCGTTGATTCGGAAGCACTTAGTGAACCAACTCTGATCCGAAACACTAAGACCTCCAAAGTGTTGACCAGGGACCCGACCGAAATCCAGCTGAATCTCCCGGTTGTAGTATTCTTTTGCTGAACGCCTACCACAGAACCGAAATAACGCTTTATACGGGATGATGTCTGCAACATCGTGTTGCTTTCTGGGACACATTGCGACGGGTGATCTATGAAACGTAGTAAGAACGAGAGATTCTACTGGGACTAAGTTGTTCCTCGTTAACATCAATTTAATTTGCAACCGCGCTTATACAGTTTATATAAAGTTTGGTGTTCAAGAATGTAATGGGGCTGATGTAGCAAGCTCAGGGACATTGCCTATGTGATGAGCTTTAAGAAGGACGAAACCGTCTGTGCGCTTTCAGGGCTTCCATCGCCATAAATTTTCTTAGATTGCCCAGTTTCGATTCAAATTTATGTTACTGTCCTATTTTTAAGTAGGCTCATTACACAACACTTTCGGTACAGCACATCCTGACATCGCGTGTAAATCCCTCGTTGAACTACTGGTGATCGATTCAGTACGCCCCATAGCGGAGGATAAGGATCGCCCATATTTCTAATTGCAGATCCACTCTTATTGAAATAGACTGAGCGTCCCATTTGTCTGCAAACGACAACTTCTGCCGATAACCGTTCTCACCATTCGCAAGGACATCACCTCGGTCAACTGGCTAGATGACCAAAAAGTGAAAAATACGGACGGCAACATCATAGAAACACCCCATGGTGCTGTTTATGTGGAGAGAGTTGATGATTGGTACTTGTTTGCCTTATCTCTTATTCCTGTAAATCATATGGACCTAATGAACTACTCATAAGGTCGCTGAAAATTCCTCTACAGCCCACAACCAATTTTGCCCTTCTTGGGGCTCATCATCAGGTAGGCGCAGTCCCTGAGTTTCCGTCAACTTTATGTTCTACTTGAACCCAAGTTTCAAACAAATTAGGTTTTGCGCGAGACTCACCTGGAACCCACCTGAAACTCTCGTTTATGTTTCCAAGCAACTGAATGTGCTGCACCAGGCCGCCTCATGTTTCAATTGGTACAATATTCGAGATGGCGCGATACATATATGGACGTAATACGCTGGAAATAATTTAATTACACTTCACTGAGCATGTGGGTGACACCTGGATTGATTTCCCCATTCCTGTTCCTTAAGAGCCATAAATTCTCTCCCAGGTTCACAGAAGTCTCCTTCTTTATACACTGACTGCGAAAGTGTTCTCGGTAGGGTATCGCTTCGGGGGAATTCGAAGTTTTCAACATCGTAGTGAAATGAAATAGAAGAAGGAATCACGTCCGTGTCTAGCTCAACTATGACACCCACTTGTTCGCTTGGACAGCTCCACTCTTTTCATAGTCCAGTTACATGATTTGGGATTTTCCTAGCCCTGATCGTCACTATTGCCATCACTATCACGCAGAACGCTGGTGCTTTGCCGCCGTACAACTTTATCAATTTATTTGAATGGAGCCTCATACTGGAAAGAAGAAGGAAATGGGGCAGGGGGGGCCTAGGGCTATCTTACATCAAACACCCGAGGTTCATACAACCTAAATCTACAGTCATACAATCTTGATAGAAAGTGACAAAATGAACGTCATTCTCATCGGTTAGTCGCCATATCGTTCAGTGTCTCCAAGATACCTCAGCAAGGGTCACGGACGCCCCATCTTGAAAGGCAAACTTCGCGAACGACATCCATAGTTTCGTAATTTCCATCTTTGATGTCCGATTCTGCCCACCTGTAGTTGTGCGTCAGTTCAAAATAGGCGCGGAAAACAGCGCTTCTCTCGGTCGTTACTCCTCATACGCAACACATGGCTCAACCTCCTTAGGTCGCGATGCTGGGTGCACTCTTTGAGAGAAACACCTGCTTCAGTAAGTCCCGTCTCTCAGCAAGGGTCACGGACGCCCCATCTTGAAAGGCAAACTTCGCGAACGACATCCATAGTTTCGTAATTTCCATCTTTGATGTCCGATTCTGCCCACCTGTAGTTGTGCGTCAGTTCAAAATAGGCGCGGAAAACAGCGCTTCTCTCGGTCGTTACTCCTCATACGCAACACATGGCTCAACCTCCTTAGGTCGCGATGCTGGGTGCACTCTTTGAGAGAAACACCTGCTTCAGTAAAGTCCCGTCTCCTGATCACCTCACTGCAAATTCGATGGTTTCAGCCGATTCCAACTATGATCCTGAGGAACTAGTGATCAAAGACCCGAAAATGTCTCGGATTCTTCTCGTATGGACAAGCGTCGCAGCCGTTTGACAATACAGCCTGCACTGTAGTCTGATATATGCGTTCTTCCAGATCCAGCGATGTTTTTTTCATACAAGTGGCGCAAACTGGCAAGCGCAATTATGACTCTTGAGTTCCGCGCTTTGACTTCATCGTCAGAGCTAATACAACTTTCGAGACACTTATAGCGTTCCAAAACTTTTTGAATTCTTAGAGGCATATTCAAAGACGGTGCGTTATGCAACATGATTTTGCATTTTGTAGACGCGGAGCTCATGAGTTTTTCCCTTTATAGGCTGAAAGGAATGTGAATGCATCTTTATCAAGAGCATATTAATCGTCGGCATCATAACCGCCAGGCGTTTTCAAAATATTCACAAACCGATATCCATTCTGTTGGAATAATTGTGTGGACTTGAATGGATTGATGTTCTCTAGAGCCTTCCCTAAAGTGAATCTGGTGAAATACGGAGACAGCAATGGGCCCATATCTCCTGCATTGCTCAGAATAACTCCCGTGTGGATGAATCAGACACGTGAAAGTGTCACGGATATGATACAAAAGACATCAGTTTTTACAAGAGGATTCCTGGTTTAGTGTTTGTTCTCACCTGAAAGACCAACAGAGCTTCGAAATAACTGAAACTACTACGAGCAGACAAGGGATGCGGTGGTTGAGAAAGATAGCTATAATTCCATTTTTTCATACCATCAAGGGCTGATTTCCATTTCGCTTTGTTAGGTTGCTGGATTGGCCAAATTGTGGTTCTAACTTCCACCTAATTGGTATCCCGTTGAGAGCACTTACACAGCCAATGCATAAGGGTGCAAACCTCTGTGAACCCGAAACAAAAATTGAGACATGTCAGTTAAAGTTTTATCCACACTTTCATCAAACGGGTAGCACAGTGATTTACAGGGATTTTCAGGTAAAGCGGATGGGAAAGAATAAAAAGCCTTTCTTAAGGGCAATGTTTCACCATTTGGTCCTTTTACACCAGTTGACCAAAGTGATGGTAAGTTTGATTTCTACCTGCATTGGTCTTTCGTTAAATTCAGTGGGTTTCTAGTGAATAAACGTTGGCGGTCTTATGATTTCTCTGTATTGTTTCAGTTTTTACTCCTAATATTAACAGGCAACACCCAGATGAGTGGACATTGATCCCATATATCCACATATCAGTAACCTCACAGCATTTTAATAAAGCTGTATTTCCTATATTTTCTCCACACTGGATTCATCGCTTCTTTTGGGGACCATCAGCTGGACATTGATGGGATTGGTCATGTCACTTGGCTATCAGTTGGGCGCCGGGCCGTTCGCCACCCGCCAAATATGTTTGTACAGCTTGTTGGCTTGATTATAGGTAGTGCTCTTCGTTCTGATCAGCTGACTGGAGCCCATCATTATGGTGGTTGTCAAACCTCCAGCAAGGATGGATAACTGTTTGGAGCAAATAATCTTGTAGTTAGTCGTTGTATAAGACATGGTAGACAGGATACGTCATCTAGACAGTGGGTTGTGATATAAATGGATTTTTCGGATAGCATTCTATTAGGAAGAAGTTTCCGTATCGTCCCGGATGCTAGCCGCTTTCGCCGACCCCTTTGTTTGTACTATTATAAATTCGCTCAAGTAATGGTCGGGTTGGTTACTTCCTGAAACCCGGTTTACTAGGCAGTCGTATGCACACTACACTTTGTACGTTTCCCATTCTAGATCAACTCTTCCTATGCGGGATAAAGAGGTGATCCAGGACTATAGGTATCTTCCCGAACCGAATCTCCCCCTCCTACGTCTTCGCTCAAAGTGTGGTCGCTGCTCGGGCGAAGTTCATGTAGCGCTACACAACTCTTCCGGTGCAACATTGTGTTTAGGCTGTCAAGTCCAACAGTTTCACGGTATTCTACAGTCAACGAAACACTCAGAACTACCGAATGCTTCAAAGAGGCGATTACTCCTTGACTATTCGCTTTCACCGGACCGTGCTACGGTCCTGGTAGAGAATCCTGTCTACCTTGAACTGTATGAATCTTGCCTTTCAATTCTGTTGAGCAGCGAAGCATCCGATCGAATGCCAGGTGTCGCCACGACAAAAATCTATCATGAATTGGCCTACTGGATTTGCGGTACCCTGCATGGAATGGCCAAACGTGGTGAAGTTGTTCAGTAAGTTGAAATATTTCTTGTAACAGTCTGTTCGAACGGCAAGTAGAGAAAGATGATCTTCGACGTCAGCTAGACATTTCTCATTAGCTTTTCCGGTCATACGCGATAGTGGGTCTTGTGATTAAAACTGATTAAAAATATGACGAAAATTGTTCTGACAATTGGCATACCTCCCTATCCACACACAAGCTACGTTTGGGCTATTGTCCAGTCGGTCGTGTGAACGACTTGTGCTCCGATAGGGTACCTCGCATCCGTAAGTGCCTGAGCGCTATGAGATCCAGTGACACTCGTGTATGCACTTGGATGCACAACTAGCAGAGTTCCTGGCCTCTCGTATAGTCGTGGTTGTGTTGTCCCCGATGCGGTGACGGTCCTTTTAATGCATTGCATGGTAGGCTATGGTATGTTTATCGAAATTGTGGCTCAGGAAGCTTCATTGCTAAGTGAGAAGCTGGTTTCCTGGGATTGTATAGAAGGTGTAATGAAAATTTTCACCGAACGAGAGCGTGATCTGCAACGGACTTGTGTATTCGAGAACGACCAGCAGTCAACGACTTAACAGCGCCCTCGGTATCTGATGGCGATGTGGTTAATTTGACTCCAAAGTTGCTCGGCGATGGGGACGCCAGGTAGTACAACCGCGCCCACTGATTCTAAACCCAGATACTGATCAGTACAGACTTGCAAAGGGCGTTTATCATAACATTTTTTGTCCAGTCTACATATACCACCAAGGTGTGTTTTGGATAAACTGAGGTGTCCTACTTGTGCACTGAAACCTCCCGCTGCATCCGAGCTCTTTGTTGTGCAAAAGAGGGTGGTCGGTTTTCGGTATAGGGTATCTTCGGATGAACCGAACCTACAGTTCATTAGGGCGTAGACAGACACGAGAAACAGTGTTCAATATTTTGAACATGTGGGGGTTTATTGAACTAGAAAGTCAAACAGCACAGAGGTGGCTATTTTAGGTACCTAGCCAAGCACTAAAATTTCGGCTCGTGAACTTAAGGCCTGATTCAACACACTGCAGCAGCTTCAGAATCGCTCGAGATTTGTAGCCTGTAGAGAGGCTACCGTAGACTCAACAACTGTGTTGGGGTCTCAGACGTCAACCGGCAGACTACCTCGGGTATACGCGAAAAAAGCTTGTTGCCCAACTTACCTAAAGGCTGCAGTAAAAACGACGGAATGGGACCTGCCTAGAGGACGCGCAGTAGTAGATGTGAGCAATGGTGTGCATCATGTTAACTCCATAGGTGTCTGACTGAAGCGTCCATAGCTGGGATCTACATAAGTGTGATTTTCAAGTGAGATAAGTCGGGATTTATTAGGTAGGAATAAAGCAAGATCGGATGAGCTATCAAAGATTTCGCCTATCCAACCTGTTTTATGCAGCGAATAACGCGATCTGGCTGATGTCGCCACACAACGGCCGATGTGGCATGAAGGTACTTTCAAAGTACTGTCAAGTTCATCGTCGTGTCAGTTGAGATAATGCGATGGTGCCCAAACCTAGGCAGAAAAACAATTGGTATCCTCAACCAAAGCTTCTGACTCAATAACCTGACCGCAACGCAGCAGTGGTTGGCATGAGACTACTCGGATAGCCCAAATTTTAAGGAGCAAATTCTCACATTGTTCCAATACCTAACCTGGAGAGCCAGGCGACTGTGTTAATTAAGCCTTTATTCAGTGACCAAACTGGTAGGATAGACCTCATTGATGCTGCACGAGTTCTTGCAGTGCTGCTCGGTGGGTTATTGAGGTACGCAGACCAGTGCACCACAACAGGTTCCGGTTGCCCCGCGACAGATGACAGTATCCTAGGGTGACAATGCGGGTTGTGGAGTTTGATTTACTGATGCACTCAAGTATCTCAAGTTCAAGTTTCACTGAGATACGTCAAAGGACAGATGGATCAAAAGCTCGAGGGGACTGTTAATCCCCTTTCTGTTTTCGTTTACTGTAGTTTGTGCTTCACAGCAGATGAGTTCATTTTAATGGGCACCCTTACTTCTACGATTAAAATATGTCGCAAAAGATCTCCGCATCTGGCTTGCAAAAATGTTACGGATGCATGCACTATAGTTGTTTTTGAACAAATTTTCGAGCACTTTCAAATTGTGAAAGCCACGTTCGGTTAGCCGAGTAACGTTGGTTGAAACCGGTCAAAATTTGATGATTCGTTACTTAGATCTTCCAGGGATATAAGACTAATGGAGAAGAGAAAAGGAAGACCAATGGAGAGAATTCAAGGCTCTTTGAAAGTATCCACATAATATCTAGAATGCAACTGCTCGGGGCAAAGGCTCAAGTTTTTTTTAGGTTTCCACGTAGTTATCGGAAAGCGTTGCAACTATATGTAGTTGATCATGGAAGATGTGGGAAATTGAAATACCTTTTTTTGCTATATATACTGAACTCAATCTGTAGCTGTTCCTGTCGCGCTATCGGGCGCTAAATATGGGCCGTTTGGTCTTGATTATGAAATGTCCACATGGTCCTTGAATCTGTAGATGTTTTAGGGACATATCAGCACTCGTGGATTCCTTGAATCCTTTGTAATGTCGTGCTAATGAAAGATGTGATCCTCACATATTGGCGAGGTTACCGTAACTGTCCAAAGCGATAACCGTTGCAAGTGATTAATATGGAGTAATGAAAACTGAAACGTACTGCACTATGATGAGAAAGACACCCTCAGCGCAGCGTAACATCCGAAAATACAGTTTCTCTGCAACTATCACACACTATAACATATCTTCTGAAGCAGATTCGTGGTTCAGTTACCACAAAACAATTATTCAAATTTAATTCACAGTCATTGGTTATAGTTCACTAACGTCTATTTTGGGATGTTTGACTTCATCGTATCAAGTAATATATGAAATGGAACTGGATAATAGTGATATGATCCTACATCACCAACCGCACTCGCTCTACCACATCTTTTCCGTCCAAGGAGACGCATTACCACCACCATCAGTAGCATCAACATTCATGTTGACACTGGTGTTTCACATTTATCTAATTATACTTAAGCCTTAGAGTGAAAAGAAGAGGAAAAAGAGTGTGTGAAAGAGGGGAACTGGTGTTAGCCTATAGCAAGCATTCTGAGGTGCCTGTACCCCCAAGCGCTCAACCACACAATCTGGAAACAGACAGCACCAACGCCACTGACATGAATCAGTAATCATCTCATGCAGTGTCTCCGGCCAAGCGCAAGGGGATGGGGTTCACGGGGACGGCATCCTCGTCACCAGCATTCACACTCTTCGTATTCTCTTTTCACGTCCCTCTGCCGTCAAACGCTATATACCTCGCGGTTTGTGCCATCCTGAAGGAGACACGAAGAACAACACGCATCTAGGTAAACGATGTTTCTGCATGCATAGTACATGACCTAGGTACCTCAGTTCATGGTGCTCAATGATTTCCGCACCTGAAATACCTGCTGCGCAACCAAACACCTTTCTAATTATATCGTTTCACACTCGCTGGCGCCATCCGACATCAGCAGGGCTTCTGAGGCTTCGGTGGTCCAAAACCTCGCATCACCTGTCTGTAGAGACCATGTTTCGCAACCATACAACAACACAGCGCTTACTGAGCCTGATATGCGCAACCATCGGGACCCAGTGATACGCCGTTTTAACGCCACAATTGACGCAATTCAGAAAACGTGATTCGGGTTTTTGAGATTCATTCACTGACTTCATCAAGCACTGCTGTTAGAGATAATAGAACTACCGAGGCATTTAAAATTCTCCACAACCTCCAGTGATCTTCCTTCAACTGTAAGGAGTATGTTCGGGGATCTCACTTCCCCATAAATTTCACTTTGAAGGGGTAGGTTGCATGCCGAGGGATGTTATGTTGAAGGCCAGCCTATTCAACAGGACTTGTTCTTCATCTTCAAAGATGAGAATGATATCATTTGCCTACTTCTGATAGACATGTAACGATTTGAACAGCGAGAGCTTCAAGACCTTCCGGCGTTCGCCTCATAAGTTCATCGACGACGAATTAGAACGGGAACCTAGAGGATGGACTTCCTTCTCGGACACCGCTTTTTGTAGGGAAGCTTTTGGGGGTTCATCGTACGTTCGCGCTCAGAATTACCTTATCTTTGGCATACCCTGTTGAGTAAGTGTGGTCAACAACACTGGCCGGCAGAAAAAATCGAACGCATCCTTGACGTAAAGGAACACCAAGATTGCGGGTCTTCTGTACATATGGCGCCACTCTAACACCTGACAGTGTGACGATGTGGTCAAAGCAAACTCTACGCCGTCAAGGATTGGCGTCCCGCCCTGTGAACACGAAGTGTCAGTAACATCAGAAGCCTTCTTACAACTGGCATCCGTATAGTTACTCCATTCATCACGAGTACCCTTTTTGAAAGTGGGAACGATTATTGATTCACCCCACTTGTTTGAGACAGTCTTTTCTCCCCGACATATCCGACTAGGCCAAACAAGCACTGACTGAGAAATTCACTGCTATCCTTAAACAGAATATGTGGAAGGTCGTCAGAACCAGAAGCACAAGGACGCTTGAGTCGCTAGGCGAGGTTTGTGCGTTTTGTGCAGTCCTGAAAAGCACAATGAGAGGCTGCAGCGCACAAGTGTATGGTCGAAGTCCACGACAGTATTCCAGAAGGAACAGCATACAGTGATCAACCCTCGCCACCGGTAACTAATGGCGATGGCAATCCAAGATAAACACCCAATCGGGCCTCGGCCGCGTTTGGTCTTCCTATCTAAGCTTTCATGTCCCCATCAATCTCAAAAATTATTTGAGCTTTTAGGTTGTTGTAAAAGAACATCCAAGCGTTATAGACATTTTCTTTGGCAAATTTAAAGCTGTAGTCATTTGAGGCATAAGCAAATACAATAAATTGGGTGCGATGGACCCCGCTTCCTCGAGATTCCTTCACAGATGATGGCAAACAAACTGCGCAGGGTTGATACGGGTATCCAATTAAGTAATGACACTTCCGCTTGATTGCGAAGTGCTTAATCCAGTATATCCAGCTTCAGCGGCCTCCGCATCACCGAAGGTGCGCGGCTGGAACCTGGAATAGAGTGACAGGACAGTCAAAGTGGTTACGGTACTTGCATCCTGTATTCTTGTTTCTGACAGACGGCATAAATCAAAGCAGAGGGAATCCAGTGTAGGAGCATGAGACACTTGTTATCCCGCTTTCTTCAGTGTGCGAAGTAGACCGGCTTTCTGGCTGTCGCAACAATTTTCAAAAGTATAGGTGTCTTAAGGATCTGTCAATAAGGGCAGCTTGTGAGGTCCTACTGCATATTTTGGCCTGTGTTTTTTCTTTTTTCTTTTTGGAAATCCAGCTGTCACTTGAGTGCAGATACACATTACCACCATATATGTTGTGTACGGATCAGTCCCACGTATCCACATCACTTCGCGGATTTCTCGTAGTTTGTATGGAAGGTGTAGGTGTGTGCTAGAGAATCCTACCATCATTGTAATCCAAACATGTGGCTTTTGAATATTCTCGGCTTCACGCTCCATGTTTGTGAGACAGAGCTATTGCATTGTAGAATACAGTCCTTGTCCTTTGAGGGTCCTTAGCAGTCTTTTGCTTACTGGGGTATCCTATGGGAGAAAAAATTTTTCGCTTAAGTTATTCCCTCTAAAAGGCTACTGTTTGTTGCAGGATAGACCTTTACGATAAAGTTTGAAAAACTCTAATTTTTGACATGTACTGGACTGAGTTATACTGACCATTTATACTGTTTCCTATACTAGACATCCAGCTAAGCGCACAATGGAATTAGAGCCTGATGATTCAGCTTTTTGTCTACCGTTTTCCAGTACCTCGGTGAACCGGAAGTCACCCTGTCCACGAGCAGAAGACTGTGTGAAAACCGCTTCGTCATAACTCACTACTTTCTTCTTCACGAACGTGTGCTTTGTGACACTATTTTCTACTGGTCGATGAAACCAAATAATCGGACATTCTCTGTTTGCTCCGCTGACTGATAGCGAGTGTGGCCGAGCCTTTCTGGTTTAAATGGGGTTGTAGCGCACTTATTGGGCACCGTATTTGTCACCATGTAAATCAGTCATGATCTGAACCTCAAGATCGGCATTCAAATTTTCCACTTTTCTAATAATGCCATTTTCGTTACCCTTTGCAGTTCGCTCGATAGTCGCCAAGTCAGTGTCACTCAGAGCACATCAGACTATGCTCTAGGTCCCCTGGGTAACTGAAGTAATGAACCAGAACAACAAGCTGGTAGAGCTGGTCTTGTGACCCTACACCACTTTATTTTGATTTCGGGCCTCACGTGTTTTCGTGTTTCGATGCTAACGCACTTACCTCACCTTCCCCTGCTGTTTTTACTCAACTTGCGTTGCTTGCCTGGATATGGTTTTACTTTTACTGGCTACGTTGACACTGGCCCAATATATGTTCGTCCAAGATAGAGTGGGTGACTATATCTGGGTTACCTTTTGCAAACTAACATTCAAGATGGCGCATTTGGTCACCGCCGCCACGTTGAGCCAATAAAACATACCACAAAGACTAATCACAATTGCCATGCACAGACTTACTGACTTCGGCGTGGATTCTGACAATTTTCCGAAGAGCCGGTCCTCATTCTTCCGCACCTTGTTCGCTCACTGATCTCTCCATTCCATTTTCTGTCTTTCTCGCACTTTGTCTGAAGACTTGGTGCTCAAGGCTATCTAGTTCTTTTTGATGCGGTGTGCGTTTCCAATATCCATCATGCTTAGTGCCCTCGCCTAACAAGAAACTTCACAAACGGGGATGCTGACCTTAAGTGTATGCTGTCATTAGTATCACCATTTGCACAGTTAGTCCACTGTCCTGTTACATAAGAGAAGGTTAACGACTATTCGGTAGTATAATCTTCCTAAGTAGGACCGGTCCCACCGATTAACGGAGGTTTATTGTGCACTAGCGGAAAAGCTTTCTTCTCATCTTCTCGTGTTTCAAACTGGACTCTAGTGCCTATTGTGTTTCTTTCACCAGGTGAACATTTTTTCAACTCATCAGAATGTTCATATTGGGTAGAAAATACTTTTACAACGCAAACTGTTTTCTCCTAATGTCCACGATGTCTTATTCAATATCCACTTCAGTGCACTCTGCACGTAAGCGGGCAAAGTTTGTCACAGAATTCGTTCAACCGATTTGACGTACTGCATCTTCCATTTTCTCGTTTTAGCTTACCAGAACCGAAGCTACTTTGCGAATTTGTGGAGCTCACAATCACCGGAGAGTTGTTCGGCAAATCTGCTGAGAAGGTGCGTCTAATTTTATGTTGATCCGATTTCAGATTTTGTCTAGCAAGCGAATGCTGAAAGCAATTCAAGTGGTTGTGATTTTCTTGTTTGTTTTAGTTTTTGTCGACCTTGGTGACTGCCGAACAGCTGGCTGATTTATCCTGTCGTCAGCTTGCTTTGAGATGCGGTTTGATTTTGGTTTGTGATCCGGACCAGATGCGACCCAGTTGTGAATTGCTGTTGCGAGATAATCCTAAGCTGGTGAGTTCCGTGACACTCACTGTGATTGCACACGATTTTGTCATATCTGTGTGTATGTAACCAGTGTTCTCGGGTAATGTTAAACTCCATGCGTTTGCTAGTTTGTGGATGCAGGTATAGATAATTGGGTAGCCTATCGACACTGCTGCGTTATTTCTACTAGAATTTACGAGTTTCTAAGCTCAGTAGCACTTTGTGATGGGACATCCACCCTCGACATCTTTCAACTAAATCTCTGGTGGGACTTTCGAGATACGATTCGCACTTTTTTCCACATAATTTTCCATCTGTCTGTCCAGACAGTGGCTGCAGTATCTATCTCTTCATTAGTTTATGGAATGCAGCACAATCAATGGGCATGTAACCCATTTATTTATTTTTTCGAGTCCAAGGATAGTCGTAGAACTTCCCACATGACACCGTCACCTTCTCGTACGGTACAGCTAACGGGATGCTGCCGTAAATCTGACCTGACATATCACAATAAGAGTCAGCTGCGTAGATCATCACTGAGAATGATAAAACCGGTTTTTCGGCCCGCAGCAACGTTTCCCATAACATCTTTCGTGCCCTTACCCACCTCAGTGGTGTACTTTTCCGCAGATACAAATATATCAACCGTATATACGAATTTCTGAAGAAGCGGCGCGTTGAATAATACTCACGGCTTGGTCACGGTGGATTTTCTCAGCACAAAATAGCTGCAGTTGTGCTTACGAAGGAGTTCACTGTTCACGACGCATAGAATTTCAAAACCGAGCAGCAGGGGATGAGCATGCGCGCTATAGTTTGGTACATTCTAAACGTCATATAGCCTTTCATTTGCGTTTCCGGTTTTAGGTAACAGCAACATTACTTTTAAACTAATTTCTTCATATACGGGATTTGTTTGGAATTTGTTTTTATTAATTAAGAGAAAGAATATAATGACGAATCGTGCCATGTCTCAAGACACGAGTCTAGTTAACCCATCTCTTCCGTAGCACGAATAACGAATTACGCCCACTGATTCCCTGCGATCTGTTGTAACCTATCTTAAATGCATATAAGGCTGCACACGATTAACAGGTAATTGGTGTCAGTAAATACTTGGCAAAATGGAAAATGAGTACACATTTTCATAAAGGATACTACTCACAAAGTTGCTGAAAACTCCTCAACAGCCCACGACCGGTTTCACTCTTCTTGGGGCTCATCAGCTAGGCGCAGTCCCCGAGTTTCCGTCAACCTTATGTTCTAGTTGAACCCAAATTGAACTGTTTTCGAGAAATACACTCATTTGCGAATCAATTTGATTTTCACGAGAGACTCAATTGAATCTCTCGTTTATGATATCCTACAACTGAATGTGCTGCACACAGGCCGCCTCATGTTTCAGTTGGCACTTTATTCGAGATATCGCACATTGTCCACATTGTCCGTCCACGCACTCAGTTTCAGCCTACTGATTCGTCGAAACTATTTTCGAACCAATTCATGCGATCTTCAAATTAAAGAAAACAGATACTCACTGAGCGTCCTGTTCAAATAATGAAGATCGCGTGTGACCTGGTGTGATGCGGAATATTGCGTTCTGATATGCACCAAATGTGGACGTTTTGATCCGTTCTGGACACAAATTCGTCAACCAAATCGTCATTTTTTAATCGACATGTCTCTAATCGATATACTTAGGATCAGATGAACGAATACTTGCTTCATGAACTTACACGTAGTGATAAGGTTTATAAGCATTATACCGTCGTTTCTCTCTCAAACTCACGGTAAGTGTCTGAATGGTGAACGAACAAACGGTATGCCAACTTCTCGATTTCGATGTAATTTGTCATACCCGGCCATGTCTATAGGACTACCCCACAGTCTTCTTCCCTACCAACGATACCTTGTAGGACGAAAGAATGAAAAATCACATTTAGAGTGCAGTCATGCAAAAGGCATCACCATGCCCCGGTCTAAATAAACTTACGTAACCCAATCTCAGACCTCAAACTCAGACAGTACTATCCGAATGTAGATCAACTGAGGCCCAGTCCTAAGGATCGCAACACACTAGTTGCTCTCTTTAACTTGATTGACTTTTCAGAGCGGCGACAAGCTCTGCTGCACTTCACATTCTTCAGCCGAAATCATTGCTTCGGAATTCGTTCCTCAACAACCAGCGCGTAATTCACTTCCCCTCTTTTTCGAGTTGAGCATGTGAATGTATCGATGACGAAGTTTTAAGAGCCAATCTTTCTCAAAGATTCAATAGTTGATTATTCAGCGGTCAACTATATAATTATATCGTTATGATATTTTATTGTTTTATTCTCAGGAGGGTCAAGTATCTCACTATAAAAAGCGAAGTAACCGGATTTTTCGTCACTACCTTTGATGCAGTTATGTCGGCATTTTAAAGTACGTGAGAACTGACGTAGCTTTTCGGGTATGACGTTCATTCGGCGCACAGCTTCCACGCCTCCCTAGGGAAGCACAAACGCTGTCTAGGTAAGAGCAGTTGGAAAACAGTAGCTGGGTTCGGACCAACAACCTTCTGATTGGCAGCCTCACATCTTCACAATCGAATTATTTTAAGCACGACTGCGAACTGTGTTTCATACAGCGTCTTTCGTGCGCTTCGCAAATGATGGCAAACTGGATAGTGCCTCCGTTTTCATTTATTCACGCACTCGTTTTTAATTTTCCAGATTGGTGATCTATTTTACCGTTATCTGCAACCAAAACACCGTTTGTTGCAGTGTGTACCACCATGTTTGTTTGGGCGAATTCATAAGGTCATAAGGAAGAGTGCCCTTACGACTGGCCACTATGGTTGGCGTACGGCTACAGTACATTTTTTCGTAGATTTACGCTCATTCAAGAGTTAAGTGGTGTTACTGTGTTGTGTAACCGCAGCCAGCTGAAGCTAATAATTGTACCACTAACACTCTTCTAACTAGTCATCGTTATTGAAAGACATTTGAGTGGTCTTACCCCGACATAGCGAAATTTGCAAATGAGTTTTGAACCCTTCAGTCAGTCGAAAAAGGAATTCTATCGGAAAAAGCCTTTTACTTTCCACTATACCGGCCCTTAGATTGGTCGAAACGTTGTCTGTCGGTGTTTTCACAATGTGAAAGTGACAGGATATGGACGTGAAGTTAAAAATGGAAGCGTTGGGAACAGAGCGACATAACGCGTAGCAGTTTTTTTCACAGAAAGCCAGCCAGTGTCGCATATAAAAGTGCATGGAAGTTCCAAATAATAGCACTACTTAGTTAAAACGAATTTGTTTTCAGATAATGGCAAGTGAAATGTGCGTTAAGCATCGCTTGTGAAATATCTGGAAGTGAGTTCACAATTATAGATTACTTAAATTCCTTAGGACTTTCTTGTACTTCTGATTCAAGTGGCCGCATTCGATCTTATGACTGTGAATACCCGATTATTTTTGCGTCTTCAGGCTGACAATTGTTAGTACCTTATTTGTTTCGGTCAACATTTCCATTCCCATATAGACTAGAACGGCCTTCTGTATACTAATTTGGAAAATGTTCTTAGTTGTCGGTTTCTTCGAATAAGTTGATTTGTGACTCTTCTGAAAGTAAAATAACTCGTAAAGTGAACTCTCCTGATAACCTATTGATGGAAAATTCACATTTGTGATGCAAAAAGTGGACTAATATTTTCTTATCTTATTCTTCCCATTCGACAGGTTAATCTTTATCGCACTGGTGGGAAAGAGAGAAAAGCCCTCAAACGGCTTATAAATACGTTGTTCTCGGATCCAAGATACGGAGCGGACAAATTTAATCCCTCCGTGGTCGAAAGTGTTATGAGGGATTTACTTTCAGCCATGTGAAACGGTTTCCTGGATTATTCCCGGCTCTTTTTGTAATCTTCGTTCTTGGCATTGTCAGACAGGCACCATTTTTCCTTATATGTATATATGTATATGATACATGAGAACACTACCGCTAATCGAAACGCATTAGTTGTCGTATTTTCCACCCGACTCTGGCCATTTATAGCGGAATGTCCCTGCGGTGCTGGCACACTTCAACTTCGCATTCTGGCAAAACGAACCATCCCGCGGTCACACTTGTCAGTCGATTGCCAATCCCTTCAGTAGTTAGCTTGCCGGTCCTCAGTAACTACTGATTTCAGCGGATCCTCCCTTTCTACGCGTTCGCACAGAAGGTTATATTCGCTGGCAATGTTCGTGTTTATCCATACCGCCGGTGTGTGGCAATAAGTTTGCAACGGGAGCTTTGCACTAAATCCACACTTTTACGGTTTGATGTCCAGTCCCAATCAACACGTGAAACTTCAAGCTGTTCACGGTTTTTCGTAGAAATAACGGTTTATCGTATTTACCTTTCACTAAAGTGGGCCTATTATCTATCAATACTGTACAAGAAAACGAGTTGGATCGACTCCATGAATTCTTAGTGAATTATCAAGTAATCTGCAGTTACAAACCAAATGAACTGGGAATACAATACAAAATGTTCGCGTTTCATTACGAAATATAAGCGTTATCTTATTTACCTCAACTCACAGTGCTTGGTTTTCTATTCCGTTAGTCGAATAAGTCCATCTGAAAATGCGTGGATAAAACGGGTGCGGTATGTATTCTAGGAGGCAGTTGGCATCGTATGCTCCTGGCATGTAAGGAGCAAACTAATCGCCTTTCAATGCTTCCACGCATTGAAGGCATCCGAATCTGTGCCTAATGGAGACTACGGAGTTTTCAGTGAACCAGTGGCAACGAAACATGACTATACATGTGAAGCTCTATGGAGGGTTACTACTAAGGTAGCTACTATCTAAATAGAACACTTATGGTCCACTAGATCAAGGTTTCTCGGTTTTGTGATTGACTTCTTGCTGTTTTGCTGGGGATCAGCGAGGAAAATGATATAGGCGGACAGGGTTGTCTCAAGCCATGTAAACGTTCACCGAAGTTTCCCCTTAGAATCAGCGATACTGGTGTACATGTATACATGGGAAGGTGCAGTTGGTGCTACGTACACAAATTGGATAATATTGATTGTGGTCCGCTGTACTTTATCAACAAACATGAATTGGAAGTATTTGTCTGTTTTTGACAAAAAACGCGGTAGGCATTTAACAGTAAGGCGAATATTCGGTTCGATTCAAAGCCTTTCATGAGACCACAACATATCTTACTTTGCAGTCCAACAACTGTTCGGTCTTCCGCAATTTTCGGTTATCTCAAAGATACTTTTGGTGATCAAAGACACCTGGGAATGCAACTGGACACTTGTGTATCTTTCAACGTCTCTGACTCTTTTGACAGAACATGCAAATGCAGTCTTCCGCTGAATTATCTTCAGATGAATGACCTTGACATCGATTATGGATTATTATATAGATAGATCATCCGTCAAGTAGTGTAATTGACTATCAAAATACTGTGCACTTTGAAAGTACTTTAAGAAAATACTCCGAAAAAAAGCAGTCGAAAAATAATTTCTATTACACGGTTAGCTGCTAGCAAAGCGCACTTGACATGAATCTCTGCCAGACATTGTAACTTTAAGTGCTCGCCCAGCGTAGGCATGACCCTTGTAAATTGACTGTACTACTAAGTGGTATGACATGGATTTCACGAGAAATTTGTTCTGGTGAGCATCAGAGGAGAGTTCTGAGCAAAAGGGTGGTTTCGCTATATATATATA